GCCCCGGCCTTCTAGGACCAAGGTGGAACTGGCAGATGGAAAGGTCAAGTTTGAGCCCCCCCCCGGGGCATTCCAAGAAGAGCGAGGCCGTTTCCTCCCGCCCCAGCCCTTCAAACAGAAGGACTGGGGTGGCGTGTGTCGCCTCCTGACGTGGTGCCCGTCCCTGCTGGGGCCTGGCCTCTGGCTGTGGTGGGCCAGCCCTCACCCTGCTCACTGTCCACCTCCCCGGACAGGGCACTGGACTTCGGGTACCTGACCCAGGACATGATTGATGACTACGAGCCGGCCCTCATGTTCAGCATCCCCAGGCTGGCCATCGTATGGTGAGTGCCCCCTGCGCCTGCGGCCTCTGCAGGAACCTGCGGATGGGCAGAGCTGACGGTGCCAGGGCCCGGGTGGGGCTGGTCCTCGGTGCCTGCCACCCCACCGTGGCTGTCCGCTGCCCCAGGTCAGTCAGGCAGGCCGGCTGTTGGCCCTCAGTGGATCGGGGCCACGTGTCCTGTGTGCCCCTGTTCACTTTGCTGGTGAGGGAGGGAGGCTCTGCCACCTGCTACCTGCCACTGGACAGGTGAGATCCATGAACTCTCAATAGTCACAGGAGACCATGAAGGTCACACGGGGTCACACCCAGAATCGAATGGCCACGCAGGGGCTGTGGGAGGTGGACTTGGTGGTCACAAGAGGAGGAGGTAACCCCCGGGTCCCTCGGGAGGATGCAATTGGCTTGTTTGAATAATTTGGGGGCTGCCAGGGAGGTGACGTGCATTGGATGAAGGGCAGGTGGGGGCAGTCGGCCTGGCTGGCGGAGATGCCTGCGTGGAGCCTTCCTGACAGCGGGACCTGCCGGGTAGAAAGGGGACCTCCAGGCAGCCTGCACAGCCATGGAGGTGGGTGGGGCTCTAAGACATGAGGACAGCGCACCGAAACTTAGGCCTGAAATTCACCCAGGCAGGAGGCGTTCACCTACTCAGCATCTCTGAGCTGCTTGGGGACAAGGTTGGAGCCCAGGTGTTCTGGGGCTTGGCCCCTGCTGCCCAGCCACACCGTCTCCAGATGGGATTCCCCATCCCCCTGCTAGGCAGGTGGTCCCGGGCGCAGAGGAGTGAGTGGGCCACAGAGAACTTAATGAAACTTTGCAGCTGGGGAGGGCGTCCAGTGGGCATCGGCCTGCTGTGTTGGACTGGGCAGAGTGGGGTCGGGAGCCCTCGCGAGAGATGCCCTGTGGAGATGCGGATGTCAGTGAGGTGGTCCAGGAGTGTGGGTGGGCACAGAGGCCAGGACTGGTCCAGGCTCAGGCCATGGAGAGACCTCACTGAGACCATGCTGAGGACCCCGGGGACCCTAGGGCACGGGCACACGTGGCAGTGCCGCGTTCAGCAGTTGAGCATGGACACCCCCTCTCGTGGGAAATGGGGGTGAGAGGTGGGCGCAGGTGGAGCAGTGGCGGTGCAGTGGGCTGGGTCCCTCAGCGGGGCCTGCGGGGGACGGAGGGACTTCACCCTGAGAAGCATCGAACACCCCTGTAGGAGCGGCAAGCCCGGGGTGGAGTGCTGCTGGGACGAGTCCAGACCCGTGGGCCAGGCCGCCTGCTCAGCTAGGCCAGCAACGAGGTGGCCTTGAGGGAAGTGTCCTGGGTGCCACCTCCTCAGGGAGGGCTCCCGCGTGGTCTCTGATCTGCCGGCACGGCACTGCTCCCCGGAGCCCCCTCCCACAGCTCTGCGCCTGGCCTGATCCTGTGCTGTGCTCTCCCAACCTCATCAAGGTGGCATCTCTCACAAAGTCAGCAAACCAGAGGGAGGGAGCCTCGGAAATCCTCCTCCCACGTTAGAGTCAGAGACCCTCCCTTTGCCTGAAGATCTACGGCTGGGGGGCAACTTAGAGGGAGTGTCCTGGCGCCAAGAGGCCACTTGGGCACAGAGCGCCTTCCCAAGGCCACAGAATTTGGTGACCTTGTTTTTCTTTTCTAAGCAATTGTCTCTCTGAGGCCACACTCACTTTGAAGAAAATGACAGGCAATTTTGGTCCTTATTCTTCTCTTTGTTTAAAAAACAGAACACCAAAAGCAATGTCAATAAAAGCCAAGATAGACAAATAGGATCTAATCAAACTCCAGAGCTTCCGCACGGCAAAAGAAACCATCAGTAGAGTGAGCCGGCAACTAAGATAATGGGAAAAAATTTTTGCAGTCTACTCATCTAACAAAGGGCTGATATCCAGAATCTACAAAGAACTAAAACAGATTTACAGGAAGAAAACAACCCCATTCAAAAGTGGGTGAAGGATATGAACAGACACTTTACAAAATAAGACATACATGAGGCCAATAAATATATGAGAAAATGCTCATCATCTCTGGTCATTAGAGAAATGCAAATCAAAACCACATTGAGATACCATCTCACGCCAGTTAGAACGGTGATCATTAAAAAATCTGGAGACAACAGATGCTGGAGAGGATGTGGAGAAATAGGAACACTCTTACACAGTTGGTGGGAGTGTAAATTAGTTCAACCATTGTGGAAGACAGTGTGGCAATTTCTCAAGGACCTAGAAATAGAAATTCCATTTGACCTAGCAACCCCATTACTGGGTATATATCCAAAGGATTATAAATCGTTCTACCATAAGGACACGTGCACACGAATGTTCATTGCAGCACTGTTTACAATAGCAAAGACCTGGAACCAACCCAAATGCCCATCAGTGATAGACTGGACAAAGCAAATGTGGTACACATACACCATGGAATACTATGCAGCCATAAAAAACGATGAGTTCGTGTCCTTTGTAGGGACTTGGATGAATCTGGAAACCATCATTGTCAGCAAACTGACACGAGAACAGAAAGCCAAACACTGCATGTTCTCACTCATAGGTGGGTGTTGAACAATGAGAACACATGGACACAGGGAGGGGAGCATCACACACTGGGGGCAGTTAGGGGGGTAGGGGAGAGACAGCGGGGGGTGGGGAGGGATAACATGGGGAGAAATGCCAGATATAGTATGCACCTAAAGTAAAATTAAAAAAATAAGATAAAATAAAAATAAAAACAGAACAGCAAAGATCCTGTGAGCCGGCCTTGTTTCCACCGGGCAGGTGCAGGGGACTGTGGGCCTTCCCCTCAGGAACAGGCGGCTCCTTGTCCCAGGGCACCCGCAGCACCATCAGCTGCGCTGCTGTCCTATAAAGCTCCTGGGAGGGCTTGCCCACGCATGCCCATGCCCACGCGCCAGGGGACCCTGACTGGACTTCCTCTCAACGGTCGGGTCTGCCGCATGCAGGTGACCCTCCCGCGGTCTGCCCCCAGGCACACTGTGCTTCTGGACTTTCACACTGAGCCTGCTCTCCCGAGTACAGAATTTGCCCGAGTACAGGCGACCGCAGGACAGTGGCCACTTCCCCCAACCAGTGTCATCTATGCCCCATTTGCCCACCTCAGTCCACCCGCTGGTGGCCAAACCTCTGCTCTTCCTTCTGTCCTAAGCCCTCATCCTGGGAGATGGGGGGGAGGGGAGGTGGAGGAGGCAGGGGGAGATGGGGGGCGACCGCGGTAGGGAGACCAGGGGAGGGAGGTGGGGGAGGTGGGGAGCAACTGGGGGAAGGAGGTGAGGGGGTGCAGGGGGTCAGGGAAAGGGGACAGGGGAGGCCAGTGCAGGAGGAGGCTGAGGGAGAGAGGTAGAGGAGGGAGGCTGGGCCTTCTGTTGGAAGAGGCTTTGTCCCGGGGTTCCCCTCCTGGAGGCACTGGTGTGGAGTCCCCTTGGGCTCAGGACAGAGGGAGGGCCTGGAAAGGGAGCCAGAGACCCCCCCCAGAGGTGAAGGGGGCTTGGAGTGCACAGGTGGGAGGAAGGCCAAGCCAGCACAGGAGCCCGGAGTCCAGGGAACAACGCGTAGGAGCCCACAGCCGGAGTCCAGGGAGCAGGACTTTCCAGTGGGGTGGCCAGCTTCGAAATCCCCAGAAGCAGGCATCTAACTTTGAGCCAGGCTGTGGATCTGAGGAGTGGAGGGGTGCACCTGGCTGCCATTGCTACCCTCCGTGTGGGGAGTGAGTGCTAAGCAGGCAGTTCCTTCTGAGGCTGCCACCCCACCATGCTCACTGGGGCCCCGCAGCCCAGCACACCAGGGTCTCCCGGGTCTCGTTCCTCCTCGCCTGAAGCGGCCACTCTGAGCCAGACAGGCAGAGGCCACAGCTGCCCAGGGTGGGGCCCAGGACCCGCTCCTTCTTGTGTTGATTCAGTGAGCAAGTATTGAGTGCCTACTGCATACCTCGCCCTGTGCTTGTCCAGGGAGATGGACAGGTAAGCAGATCCACAGTGCTGTGGAACGTTCTGGATGCTGGAAGGGGGACTCAGTACAGGAACCCCATGGGGTGGACAGGAGCTAGAGGTGTGAGGGAGAGGCTCCCCAGGGCAGCCGGGAGGTGGGAGGCATGTGGGTGGCAGGTAGGGGCACACTGGCACAGGCAGAGTGTGCTTGGGCATGATCAGGGCTCTGGTGAGGACAAGGGGCCACAGGAACTTCTGCAGAAATGGAGACCCCTGCAGCCTATGTCCTGGGCCACGCCCTGGCAGGATTCTGTCTGGAAAGTGGGTATCCTGGGATCCCCAGGTCACCCCCAAGGAGCAGTGAGAGCAGAGGGGAGGCGGGGCACTGAGTGGACTGGACCAGTGCAGATCCCAGGCCCTCTCTACCCTCCCTTCCTCCCCAGCCCCCTCTTCCACTGCCCACATGGCCTGAGGGAAGGTCGCTGCATCCTCTTCAGGGGCCCTCGCCCATCCACCTGCCGAAACAGAAGGCGTCACCTCGGCCCTGCTCAGACCCTTGCTGGAGCTCCCACCATGATCTGCTGCACCAAGCCCACACCCAGCCTGGCTCCACAGTCCCCACGCACCCTTGGCCCAGGGTTTCCACCGAGCTGTCTCCTTAGCTCCCGTTTCCCCTTGGCTGTCCTTTCCCTGCTGACCTACTGTCCCCCCCACACTGTCCCCCCACCACACTATGCCCTCCACCACGCTATCCCCTCCATCACGCAGTCCCCTCCACCACACTGTCCCCCCACCACACTGTCC